GTCTGAATACTTAGGACCATGTGATATTTCAGTTTTTCTTTTTTAATAAATCTGCAAAAATGTCAACAATTCTGTGTTTTTCTGTCAATATGGGGTGCTGTGTGTACATTAATGAGGAAAAAAAATTAACTTAAATGATTTTAGCAAATGGCTGCAATATAACAAAGAGTGAAAAATTGAAGGGGGTCTGAATACTTTCCGTACCCACTGTAAATAATACTAAAATAGCACTTAGGAAAAGTTCACAGTAACTTATATTTATTTAGATTTTTTTTTTTTATAAATACTGATATTTTCCAGATAATATTTAAATAGTTTATTTTGTAACAATAGTATTCATTATTTCATTTTTATTTAAAAATGTTAAAAGTTTGTTTTTCTTATCACACTATTTTTTCTCACATAATATATATTAGTTTTAAAATATATAGCTGCCTTTATAATTTGAGAAAGAGGTCCTTGGTATCATGTGTAGGAGTCTGTAAAAATGCCTTGTGTTAGCATAATTTGAGTTAAAGAAGCAAACTTTGTTGATTTGAAATATATTATTGAAATGTAATCCTGACAAACAGTTGGAGATTTCAGTCTTCCAGTACCTATTACTTAGAAAATAGATTCCCGTGACTTACCTTGAAGGGACTTTGCTGTGATTCAATTCAAGACTAAAGTGTAATATTTTTCCAATGTTAAAGTGCCATACAACCCCCTTGTTTCAGCACAGTGTAACTTGTAGCTCAAAAATGACCCACTTCTCTTTTAAAGTGAGCTGTCATTTCTGATCTTTGGAGTCATTCATAATTTGCCTCATAATATGTTATGCATTTGGCCTTGTGGTGTAGCTGGTGAGGCCCTTGTGTATGGTGCCCAACATTCCAGGAATTCCCGGCCCTCCACTAGGGGGCAGCAGCAGCGGCTCATCTTCACCCTCAGGCTATAACCCCCACAATGAGGCAAAGATGGTGAGGGCAAATCTATTTTCTTCCTAATCCAGCCTGTGGATCATTTTGCAAAATGCTCGGATGCCTTGGCTTGCCTAGTATTTCCATGTTGAAATTCTTTATCCAGCACATCACATGGGTGATAGTTTTCACAACAAACAAACACAGGCTGTTGGAACAAAGCAGCTCTGTCATTAACAGTTTGTATTTCAAATATACTTGTTATACAAAGATATGCAAAAAATAACTATTTTTTGTAATAGGCTAGTTGGTGGGTGGTTTGACGACTAGTGGGGCTGTGTCATTTGGCTCATTTGATTCTAAAATTGAAATGAAAACTGAAATGTAAAAATAAAAGCCAATTCAAATTATTAATAAAAACCATAATAGTAAATAATACTAAAATAACACTAGAAAAAGATCCGAGTAACAAAACGCAACAAATTTTGCTATGTTTATGTTCTCTTGATTATTAATAAATAGCACTACGTGTCTTGGTTTCTTGAGAGATGTTTGCTTAAGATTAAAAGAAAAGCCATGGAGAAAAAATCTAGATGAACGTCCTAAACTATAGAAATAAAATGCAGAAGTTCACACTGTTATTTCCTTTCTGTCACATGATTTCTCTCCTCAGTGCGTGATGAGTTGCGGTTCACAGTTTTATGAAATGCCCATTCCACATGAAAGAGTAATAAAACTGAATGTGAAGCTGTAAGCTGCCTTATAATTAGACAGAATGCCATCTTGTGCCATATTACCATGATGTTTTTGTTGTTGTCCTTAGAGGTTGAAGGCAGCATTATCTCAGCAGATGCCCACAGCTCAGGGTTGCCTTGGTGTGGCGATGGGGTCCAGTGCGATGGTCCCTCAGAGAGTGGAGCAAAGCCAGCTGCTGGTCCAGCATCCAGACGCCCCATCCCCTGCTCAGCCACAGGTATGGCGTATCTTCACACTCCAATTGTCGAGTGTAAACATTCTGTATACAACAGATGCCATTGTGTTTGTCAGGGAGCAATCTTTCACTTTGCTGTGGCATTACGCAGTAAACATCTCTGTTTACTCTGCCCTGCTGTGTTCAGGTGTCACCCGCTCAGCCCACCGGAGGTCGCAGGCGGAGGACGACTGATGACGACCCTGATGAGAGGAGGCAGCGCTTCCTGGAGCGGAACCGGGCAGCAGCTTCTCGTTGCAGACAGAAACGCAAGATATGGGTTGGCTCTCTGGAGAAGAAGGCCGAAGAACTCACCTCCATCAACGTCTCGCTGTCGGTTAGTGTGTGCGAATGATTTTCGGACATTTTTTTAATCTAAAATGTGAATGAGCACTGATATTGCTTATTGCAATTTGAGAAATGTGTGATGTGGTTCCTCTGTGTCCAACCCAGATTTTATGCAACCAGAGCATACTGTGTGGGATTCCGTATCCCATGAATCACTGCATTTGTCCATAACTTCTATCTAAAAAGTCAAGATTGAACCAAAAGCAATATCAACTGTGATGTTTTGGTACTTTTGTGTGGCAAAAGTTAAGATAGATTTTGTTTGCACTCAAAAAAAGCAAATAAAGGCTGTATTTATTTCATAGATAACTGGATGTTGCTCACCAAGATGTAAATATGTAATGTTATGAGATTATGTGACCAATTTGTAGCAAATCATGGTCTGAAATAGGGTTGGGTATCGTTTGAATTTGATCAATTCCGATTCCGATTCCGATTCTGCTTATCGATTCCGATTCTTTTTTGATTCCCAATTTCTATTCCAATGTGATTAAATAATATCAAACATTTATCCTGTGTCTCTTTTTTGTAAACCATTTATTGGAGCTGAATACCATGAACAAAAATCAACAGGCTACATAAAAACTGGACTCTTTAAGAGCTGTTTGTGTGCAAAATAGAACTGCATGATTCTGGATAAATTGTTTTTTTTTTTCTTTCCCCAATGGACGTTGTGGTTCTCTCATGATTCTGAAGAAAAAACATTAGACAACTAAACAAAATCACATTAATGAATTAATGATTAAATGACTCACTCAAGATGTACTTGTTTCATTACTGGATGAATCAGTGTTCTTGAACGAATCTCTTGTATGATTCAAAGACAAATACATTTTAACAGCCCCTTTATGCCACCTACTGGCATAACAATGTAATCGATAAATGTTCATTTGAAGTGTCGAATTACTTTCAAAAGGTGATTTACTCTATTTTAATCACTACCATACACATCGTACACACAGTTTATATCTAAACTATAAACTTTTATGCCAGTACTTCTGTGACTTGAATGTTTGTAACACAGAAATGATGATACTGTGTGGCTGAAAAGACTGTGAAGCTGTTTCATTCATGACAGACAGATGCTCTCTTCAGGTCAGCGGCAGCGCGAAAGCAGATTTAAATGTTCAAATCACACTGAGTGGTGTGATCGTACTCTGCACGGATGAACCATGTGATCACAACATTGATCGCACACATCAAAGGTTGAGGAATGAAAGACGAATCATTGTAATTTAGGAATAGAATCCGGTTGGTGTTTGAATCGTGTTCGCGACACCTCTCTTGCAACATTTAGCTACTACAGATATTATACTTAGCTTTTTTGGCTTCTGATCACAAATGTAGCCAAACTTTGGAGCGCTTAGATTAGCGAGCAAGGTCCTGGCAGATTGCTAGCTCCTCACAGATGTTGGAGCGCTGTGAGCAAGGTCCTGGCAGATCGCTAAGCGAAGTCCGGTCCTCACAGATGAAAAAAACAAAAAACAAAAGGAATCGATAGGCGAAAATAGATAGAAATTTTAATTTGACAGCAAGTATCCGATTCCTGATCTTAAAGGGTTACTCCACCCCAAAATTAAAATTTTGTCATTAATTACTTACCCCCATGTCGTTCCAAACCCGTAAAAGCTTCGTTCGTCTTCGGAACACAATTTAAGAT